TATTATTATAATTCTTTAGAATCTATTGGCTGATAATCTTGAGGGAACTGTTGCCTTTCTAGGGTCAGTCTGGACAGAAAGGGACACAAGGCAGCCCCAGCCCCAGAGGGAGCAGGGTGAGTATTCCTCGGGCACTTATCTCCTCTGAGACCACTGAGAGACACTGCGGAGGCCTTCCCAGCATTTACGGTGCATGTAGGTGGCCCCGGAGTGTGATTACAGTGACAAGGGTTCTCCGTCTCACTGTTACGATGGTGTACCTGGAGAGTCCTGTGCCGCAGCCGGTGTCCTGGGCCCTGTGGAGTGTTTAACTGCATCCTTGGGCTCTGCCAGCTCGATTGAGTAGTGCCTGCTTCTCCCAGTCGTGATAACCAAAAATGTCACCAAGTGTCTTCTGGGGTGAAATCCCTCCTGGCTGAGAACCGTTCACTAGCTGTTGCCTTTCTGCTTCTAGATGCTTTTGAAGGTCTTTGAAGAGATTCGGTGACTTTAACAGAGTCTCTTCCCCAGGAGCTTAGCATCTTTGCCCTTAGTGAGATTCTATGAACCGGGCAAACGTATTTCCTTTCTCTTCACGTGTTGCCAATGGGGAAGGAGAATGAGAGACTTTCTTCCTCAGAGGAACAAACACAGGAGAACACGCCTCTGGAAACTCTATGAACTTTGATAAGTGTCGATAGTTATAGAAAGGCTTGAGGCCTTCTGTTCATTGGGTCGCTATGAGTTGTGCTCGACTTGATGACAATCAACAACAACAAGAAGTGGTAGCAACCTACAGGTTCTAGAATAATTCCAGAGCATCTCTACTGGAGAAAGGTGGACATTCTTCTGCCACATAATGACATAAAGCCTGTGAGAGGGTCTGCACACTGGAGGGTCAACTATGGGTGGGCTCCGACTTGAAGGCTGTGGGTTTGAGATCGAGGGTTTTTGTGATATCAGGATCCCTCGTGGTGCAGTGCTTGAATGTTTGCTCACAGAAATGTTCAGAGTTCACACCCACCAGCTGTGCTGTGGGAGTAAGGAGCTGACAGTGTCATGAATGTTCACAGCGTCGGGTGGTGAGGCCCGTGAGGCAGTTCTCTGTCCTGCAGGGCTGCTGTGAGACGGAAGCTGCTCGGCAGCGTGGAGCCCATTGGGTTTTGCTTTTATGTGATGTCAGACAGTTTCCGTTTGCTTGGCTCCACAATCAACACTCTTGGTACCTGCAGCCAGGAAATTAAAAGATGAATTTCATTGGGAAAGTCCACTGTCAGAGACCTCTCTAAGGTACTGAGGAGCAACGGTGTCAGTCTGGAGACTAAGGTGCACCTGATCCAGGCCATGGTCTTTGCAATCACTTGTTGTGCATCAGAGAGCTGGACAATGACTAGAGATGATAGAAGGAGAGTTGATGCCTTTGATCTGTGGTGCTGGAGAAGAGTGTTGAATATATATACCATGGACAGCTAGGAGAACAAACAGGTTCCTTCTGGAGAGGATGAAACCAGGTTACTCTTTGGAGGCAAGGATTCTGAAGCTCCATCTGACATACTTTGGACATGTTGTAAGGAAGGACCAGTCCTTGGAGAGGGACGTCATGTTTGGGAAAGTAGAGGGACAGCCCAGGAGAGGAAGACCCTCAATGAGATGGATTGATTCAGTCACTGGGGTGGTGGGGGTAGGTGTAGCAGAGATAATAGGGTTGCCACAGGGTAGAGCAGGATTTAGGGCTGTTGTACATAGGGTCGCTATGAGTCGCAAATGACTCAACGACACATAACAACAGACCTTCTAGAGCATAAAACAAGGCCATTGGATTCCCCCGTTTTTAGGGAATCACCTTTGACTTTGATGTTGAGATTGTGCAGAATCCCTTCTGGCACACGTTCCTTCCACATGGGGATCATCAGAAGAGTAGAAGGACGTCCGGGGTCCTGGAGTTGCTCCTGAGTTCTGTGCGGGGAGAAGTGGAAACTCCTCGGCTTTGTTGCCTGTGACAAGGTTAGGATCTCCTCTTCATTGTGAAAGTCATGGTCGATGACCTTCCTACTAGAGAGGGGACAAACAGGCTTGAATTCTCTTCCCTCCTTCACCTTGAAGCGTCGTTCCTAAGTGGAAGCATCAGCAGTCAGGGGTTAGGCTTCCTGCTGTTCCTGGGACACTTCGTTGGGACTTAGCCTCCTCCACACAAGAGACTTGACCCGTAATCAGAGGACGCAGAAGACCAGCAGGATGAGCTAACTGCTGTAAACTTTCAAGGGAAATATTTTTGTTGGCTAAAGAGAAAATACTTGTTCACAATAGCATTGCAACTCTGACATCAATTAAGTGCTTTTAAACAAGAGATGTCAGAGGCGGAGTGGGAGGCTAGGACTTGGACAGCAAGTTGATGCCTTTGAAATCATTCCAAGGTATGAGGTTCCAGCTTCCTCTCTGCCCTAACCCTTTCCCCACTGGCCTCCGTCAGACCTCTTTCCTCCTGAGTTATACAAGACACTGTGGACCTAAACTCATAGCTAGCATTTCTCATTTCCTCACCTTTCCAATGAAGGCCTGCATTGCCTACGAGGGCTGCCATGGAGCTGAACCCAGTGCTCAGGTGACCTCGTGCGCATTCTGAAGACAACCTTGAAGGGCTTCACAGCCACGTTTTCAGAAGTAGATTGCCAGGACTTTCTGCCAAGTCATCCTGGGGAGTCTTGAACTGCTAACCGTTGACTAACACTTGACTCTTTGTCCCATATGGGCCCTTTCATATCCTGCAACACACAGGGAATATTTCTAAAGAATTACATTTATACTTGGACAGCACCTGCTTTGATCCAAGTCCTGATCAAATCACCTTTAAGTGTTAGTTTAATTTGATATTTAGTTATTAGATAGTTAGTTAGTTGATCGTTATAATAGACCTGTGTTGTTGTTGTTAAGCACTATCAAGTCCACGACATCTCAGAGTGACTTTATGAACTCGGTGCTGTGCCACCCTCACCGTCTCTGAGGCGCTCCGGTCTGTTGTCACAGTCGCCGTGCATCAGTGGAGGGATGGACACACTCGATCTTGCTGAAGGTCTTCCTGTCTCCAACCCTCCACCTTCCCCAGTGTGATGCCCCTCCTCCGAGGACTGGCCCCTACTGACCACATCCCCAAAGGCTGTGGGATGAAGCTTCCCCTTCCTGCCTCTAGGGAGAGCCCTCCATGCACTTCGCCAAGACAGGCTTGCTTGGTCTCTTTTAAAGTTGAGGGGTGAAAACCCACAAAACCCTTTAGACAACTTGCCCAAGGTCATACTATCTGGGAACTGATGGAGCTGGGATTTGAACCCAGGCTATCTCACCCCAGAGTCTGTGTTACTCACCACCCTTGTCAGGTTTATTGTGTAGCCTCCCTGTGCTGTCCAGGCCTTCAGCAGCTGAGATCAACTCCAGACTACATGGCTTCTATGGCCCTGTCCCCAACCGGTGTGTGTCTTGTACAGCCTTGTCTCTTACTGGTGTGTGACTTCTAAGGCCCTGTCCCTAACCGGTGTGCCATTTCTAAGGTCCTGTCCCCAGCCAGTGTGTGACTTCTAAGGCCTTGTCCCTAACCGGTGTATTGCATTGCGAGGCATGGAAGAAACACGCCTTCATTGCCTGTTTCTGAGTGAAGACAGAATCGTGATGCCTCCATGTTTGTTTGCTACTTTTTCTCCACTTTTATGCTGTCAAGGGAAGTGACATACTAGTCACATCACAGCCGACCAGTGACAATGTGGTAATGTCTCCTGGAAGTTAGCTGCCTTTTAAAAGCAAGGAATACCTTAAAGGGTAGAGCCTCACTTGAAGAGTTTTAATTGTCAGGATGAAAACTAGAAGCAGAGCCATGGAGTGGATTCTCACGTACAGAAATTCTCCGAATGTCAAGAGAGCCCTGAAACAAAGAACAAAAACAAAAACAAAAACAAAAAAACAAAAAAAAAAGAGAGCCCTGAGCTCAGGCGTGGTTTTGTGGCTGGTTTTTCTTCACAAGCACTGTCCTCGTCATCTAAAGCTGCTATAACAGAGACAGAGTTTCTTCTCATGCTTGGTCTCACATCTTCATCTTCTTTGTCTCACATACTTGGAGCGTGTTGTCAGGAAGTACCAGACCTTGGACAGGAGCTGACGTGCTGGGAGAGGTGGACAGTCAGGGCGTGAGAGAACAGTGTCTGTAACAGCGCGGCCAGGCGTATCGGAGAACCAGGAGGATGCTCAGGACAAGGCAAGGTGCGGCTTTGTGGTTCACAGGGAGCTCTGGTGGCCGACTGTTAAGAAGCTGGGCTGCAATTCCAAAGGCATGTGCTTTGAATCCAGCAGCTGCTCCACTGGAGATCGATGGGCAATTTCCTTCTGTGTGATTAACTGCCTCTGGAAACCCGCTGGAGGGTCAGCTATGGGTCAATCCCATCTCGCTGGTATACAGCCACGCATTTGCTATGAGTGGTAGTTGACAACACCTAACAACACAACTGTAACAGCGATACTACAAACGGTTAGCTTTAATGGACAGAAGTGCCTTTTCTTACAGTTCAGGAGGCTGGAAATCCAGCATCAGGGGAAGGCCCATCTCGGTACCGGTTGTGGAGGAAAGTCTTTGCTTCCTTCAGCATCTGTAGCCCAGGCGTTTCCTGGAGACATCACGTGTCCCAGCCTATCCTCTGTCATGAGCTTCATCTCGCAGGGGCCCAGGTCCAAAAGACACGCTCTATTCCCTGAAAGTCTTCCCTCCTGGTACAAGGAGTTCCCCAACTCCTGGCTTCCTTCCTTCCCCTTTCATCTGCAGTGAGATAAAGGTACCAGGCCACCCTCCCCTACACCCCCTTAGAGCTGGGGTGCGAGTAGGGAGGGATGCATTCCACGCTTAACCCTCCTACAGCTAGTTTGACAGATGGTGGGAGATCGTTACATAGCTTCCACACGGTATCATTAAACACACTGTTTGTTATTGTTGTTAGGTGCCTCCTCTACGTCCATGAGGATAGCCCAACAAACAACACATCTGAACCCTGCCCCCGTCCTGTGCTATGCGGTGCCATCCGCACACTCTCTGACTCTCTGAGCCCACTGCTGCAGTGACTATGTCGATCCAGAGGGCTAAGGGTCTTCCTCTCCTCTGCCAGCCCTCCACTGTTCCAAGCACGTTGGCCCTCTCCAAGGAATAACCTTTCTTAGCAACATGCCCATCTGCGCCTCCACGAAGCATTCTGGCTGTACCATCTCCAAAGACATACCTGTTAGTTCTCCTGATTGCTGGAGCCATTAAGAATCTAGAACTCTTAATTGTGCTTATGCAAAACCTATATCCAGATCAAGAGACTGTTGTGTGAACAGCAAGGGAACACTGCATGGTTTAACATTAAGAAAGATGTGCACTGTGGTTGGATTCTCCCTCTATACCTGTTCTATCTGCATACTGAGCAAATTATTTGAGAAGCTTGACTCTGAAGAAGAATGTGGCATCAGGATTGGAGGAAGACTCATCAATAATCTTCGTTATGCAGATGACACAACTTGCTTGCTGAAAGTTAACAGAATTTGAAGTGTTTACTGAAGATCAAACAATACAGTCTTTGATATGGATTATGTCTCAATGACAAAAACAAACAAACAAACAAACAAACAAACAACTCTCACCACTAACCCAGCAGGCAACACCATGATAGAGAAAGGATTGAGATGTCGATGACTTCATCTTTTTTTTTTCCCCCCCAATGACTTCATCTTATTTGGATGCACAATCAACAATACCCAGGCACTAGTGGTCAGGAGATCAGGAGACATATTGCACTGGGAAAGTCTGTAGCCATGGACCTCCTCAAATTATTGAAGAGCAATGATGTCAGTTTGAGGACTAAGGTGTATCTGATTCAGGCCATGGTCTTTTCAGTCAGTATGCATCTGGAAGCTGCATAATGAATAACAGAAATTGATACCTTTGGGCTGTGGGGTTGGAGATGAACAAACAGATACATCTTGCAGAAGTTGCAGCTAGAGTGCTTCTTGGAGGCAAAGGTTCATCTCACATCCTCTGGGGATGTTGCTAGGAGACGTTATTGCTCGGGGAGTTGACAATATTGAAGATGGTGGATTGGTGAAAGAGAGGAGCCAGGTGGACCGACACAGTGACTGCAGCAGTGGGCTTGAGTGTGTCAGAGTCTGTGAGGACAGGACAGGACAGGACAGGGTTCAGATTTGTTGTTCATGCGGTCATTATGGGTCAACTCGGCAGCACATAACAATGACAAATAAGTGATTTGCACGGAATCATAGTTTTCAATCACAGTTCAGAGTGAGCTAATGACTGAAAGATGCCTTGACCCTTTGAAAGCAGGGCAGGAGACTGGCTAACGGGTGCACGGTGGAGGAGAGCAGGCCAGTGTTACAGAGAACACAGGCATTAGGACCTAGACTCACCGTCCCTCCTGGAAATGAGACGGTGTGGCAAAACAGCCACTAGATGGAGCACCTGAGCTAGCCATGGGAAATCACCTCTGGGCGGGTCCCCAGATTCCAGCTTCAGGGATCCAAGGAAGGTGGGGGTGCTTGGACCACTACGTACAGAGGAAAGCAGAGCCCTCCTTGTAGAGTTCCAGCGAGACAAACCCCAGGGGCCCACCAGACGCATGGTATCAGCCAAGGGTTTACTGTCCCCCCAGGGTGAGACAGAGGACCAGGGTACCGCACTGGGGTGCACGGGCTTCTCTTTGGGAAGCCTCTGATTGACAGCTCCCTGTGGGCTTTGGAGGAGGGGAAGGTGGAAGACGTTCTTCATGGGGACTTGATTCTCCCAGCAGCCTCCTTGATAGCTGTCAGGGCTTATCAGCCTGGAGCTGTGATGGTAATGACTTTTGGATTGGTTAGCAATCAATCCCCCAAATGCTAGGCTGTAATTAAGTGCCCGGTGTGTAAAGTCCTGTGGAAAGCACCTCGGGAAGCCGTTTCTGCGAGCAGCTCATTATGCACGTCAATCAGAGGTGCTGTGAACGAGAGAGGCTGGTTTGCCTCCAAGGGTCCCTCCACCCAGAGCCCCGACCACTAACAGGTCTTCTTTTCTGTTCCAGGGAAGAGAAGGTCAAAGGGGACCTACAGGTGTCCCGGTAAGCGTCCTTGTCTCCTGCCCTCTGCGGTGGTGGGAGGACGGCAATTCTTCACATGGTGGTGGGTATGGATGAGTGTTTGGAAGCAACCCACCCGCCCCACACTGGGCGAGACCACAGACAATGGTGGGGAGCCCAGTCCCCATCAGTTCAGCTGCCCGAGGCAAAGCCTCCTCCTCAGGCCCCTGGAGGTGACCAGCCTGTGCTGCCCTGCAGCTAACTACGTCCCAGGCGCATTTACAATCATGGTGGGGAGTGCATTTCATTATAACAGCAAACAGGCGTAGGCAGCAGCCGGCCTGGGTTCATTCCTCACGGGTAAGAAAGAGTCAAATCCCAGGGAAAGGAAGAGTGGCTTCCAGCCCACATGGGACCTCTGCCCTGTACAGGCCAGAGTCCTGATGACGCAGTGGACCAGGTGTTGGGCTGCTCGCTGACGGCTGGCAGTTGGGATCAGCCCGCTGATCAACAAGGAGAAGACAAGCCCGTCTGCTCTGGTCCAAGTTCACGGCTCCGGACCCTGGGGTGCAGGGCTCCTTGGTCTCTGAGGCTTACGAGGAGTTGGACTTGGCCCAGCGGCCGTGGGTTCTGTCTAACCCCCCAAGGCCACTGTTGCTGAACCCGTTCTGACTCCCAGGGACCCTCTGCCCGGTGTCCTTCCAGAGGAGACGGTCCACCTTTCCCCCGCTGTCCTGCTGGGGAACTGCTGACCTGTTGATTCGGAGTCCAGCCGTAACACACTGTCACCAAGGCGCATTTCGTGCTCTGTAGGGTCTGCCTTGGTTTCTCAGTGCTGCTCTAACAAATATCCCAAGAGGAGGCTTTAACAAGCAGAAATGTCCTCCCAGCTCGGGAAGCCAGCGGGCTGCAGGGCGAGTTCTCAGCACCAGCTCTGGAGGAGGTCTTTGGGGAAGGTCCTTGTCCCAGCTGGTGTGACCCCAACATTCCTTGATTCCTCACAACCCTCATATGCTGGCTCTCCCCCTCCCCCATGTGTGCTGAGTCTCACTGTCTACACCCCTTAACGTGAAGGAGTGGTCAGCTTTACAATAGGAAGTGGTCACACCCTATGGCCTCATTACTAACATAACAAAGACAACCCTAGTCTACATTGGAGGCCAGCCACAGGCGGAGGGGCCAGGATGCTGTGATGTATCCCAGGGGACACCGTCTGTAACAGGTACTGTGTCGGAGGATGATGTGGAGACAGTCTTAACCCCACCAACTCTCATTTGCCAGGGGCAACCAGGAAGTCTTGGACTTGAAGGGGCTCCAGGAGATGAAGGCCCGCGAGGCCCACAGGTATGTTGGGACACTGGGGACTGACTGTCCTAACGGGAAGAAGGCAGGGGTGACTGAGGAAAGGTGAACCTGCTGCTCCCGGAATACTTAACTCCGGGATCCTGCATTTCTGTCGGAGAACGAGTGACTGTTTCACCAGAACTGCACGTTGGCAGCTTACGGTGACCCTCTTTGTAGAGGAAAGTGTAGGCATGTGTGGAGTCCGCACAGCACCACGTCCTGTGCAGATAACACACTCATCACACCGCTCTATTGCAAACCTCCCGAGGATTCCTTTACGATGGGCACAGCTGTATTCCCTGTGTCAGTGCATTATATACGAAAATATAGTACTAAACCCATCCACCTTAATGTCATATTACGTAGCGTAGCGTAGCATAGCATAGCATAGCATAGCATAGCATAGCATAGCATAGCATAGCATAGCATAGCATAGCATGCTGGTGGCTTAGTAGTAAAGAGTGGCTCTTCTAACCCAAAGGTACATGGTTCTAATCCATCAGCTGCTCCCTAAGAGATGGATGGACAATCTCCTTCTGTGAGACTTGTTGATTGCCTTAAAGTCGAGCACAACTCATAGTGACCCTCTGCACAAAAGGCCTGAAGCACCTCTACAACTATCAGCATTTATCAACATTCATAGAGTTTCTGGAGACACGTTGTTTAGGAAGTGGATGCCACCCTGCTGTTGTGAGACTTCCTGCCTCTGAAAACCCACTGGAGTGTCAGCTGTGGGTTGGTTTCCGCTCAGTGGTACTTTGCAACAATACAACATATATCATATTATATATCGACAAACTGATGGTCTTGAACACAGACAGCCAAGAAAGGCGTTAGCTTGGAGTTTGGAGTTAGACCCTTAGACCTCAAATGTCCACAGGGGATGGCCGTGCGCCTGGAGTATGACCAGCACAGCTTTGTAGGCTCCACTCACATTTGGTCATGGTCCTGTCTGGTTGTGTGAACATCACAAGTCGGAGCTTCCCTGTCTTCCTCTCTTCCATGAAGATGCTGCGTTGTTCTCTCCCAGCCGTGCCTGGAGAAGGGCTTTGTAGCACGTGGGTGTTTAGTGACCAGACCGAACGTCAGGCCTTTTAAACCTGGACTTGTCTGGAAGGACCTGTGTCGACATGCTCGTTAAAGGCTGGTGAAACCTCCCGTCACCCACTGTGGGCGTGTTGTCAGGAGACGCCAGGCCTTAGAAGAGAACATCAGACTGGGAAAGGTGGGCAGTCGGGAGAAGACCCCCAACAGGATGGGCTGGCACGGGGACTGCAGCAATGAGTGTGGCCGAGAACAGAGCACGGCGCAGCGAGGGCCCGGGCCAGAGGGTCACTGTGAGGCACCTAGCATCAACCTCTTCTCAAGAGATCATTTTTATTTTGGAAAGTTCCAGACGCTTAATGTTAAACTGGGATTTGAGATTCTCCAGAGTGATTCCAGGGTCCCTTAACTAAGTCACCAGCTAGTAGGTCCTCTGACTGAGTAACCCTGGGACCGGTCCATTCCCAGGCACTCAGGTGAGGTGACAGGTGTCTCGCATGCTGCAGGGCCCTTTGAACCCAAGAGTGTCCATGCACTGTCTAGGCCCTTAACCCAGGCCAGGCCTCTGGCTCCAGCTGACGTTTGCATTGGGCAACAAGAACTTATTTTACATGTGGAGCTTAAATAGTCAGAAACCTGCCTGAGATGCCTAGTGTTTCCTCTGTAAAAGGATTATCAAGAACCATGAACTTGAAGGTAAGTCTGACAGAGGAACATGCTCGGATTCTCCCAGTAGGCTTTGCTGCTAAACATCCCCTATCCTGTTTGAAAACTGCTCTGTTTCACGTATCGATAAGCCCGTCGAGAGCTCTGACTGGCTTCTCTGTGTGTCTTGATTTGGTCCAAAGGCTCTCTTTTCCTCCTTAGTCTTTGTTGTTTCTTAGCAGAACAGCGACGATGACATGAACCACTGAGTCACATGTACTTCCTACTCTCCCGGTTTAAAGTCTGTTTTCAGCTTTAACAGTAAAGCTAGAAGCTCCTGGAGGGGTCTCCACGGCCTATTTCAAAAGCACGAACCAAGAAAGCAGGTTTCTCATTGACACCTGTCACTGAGTTATGTTTCTTTTACAATAACAAAAGGGCCCAAATGGAGCTCCTGGTGGGAAAGGCGAAAAGGGACATGAAGGACATAAGGGGCCTCAGGTGAGTGACTTGGGAGCATCATGGTAATGCCCAGACGTTGTTTTCTTCTTACTTCAAAAATATCTTCAGACTTGGATTACTTTATTGTATCCATTTATGGATGGATCTGTTTTGGATTAATTGGGGAGCAGTTTTTAGCCCAGCTCAGATTCTTGATAGGTAACTAGGTGTCTTTCATTCTCTTTCACTTGGGTTTTATGCAAGTTCATTGAATTGGAAGAAGAGAAGGAGGGAAGAGGAGGAGGAGGGGGAGGAGAAAAAGAAAAGGAGGATGAAGAGGAGGGGAGGATGGGGAGAAGGAAAAGGGGGAGGGAGAGGAGGAGGAGGAGGAGAAGGAAGAAGAGGAAGAGGAGAGAGAGAAAGAGAAATAACTGTGAAAGAATACAAATATTGCTGAACACTTCCTCCAAAATTTGGCCCATTATCTTGGGTTTTGTTGTTGTTGTTGTTGTTGTTATGTGCCGTCGAGTCGTTTGCGACTCATAGCGACCCTATGCCCAACAGCCCTAAACCCTGCTCTGTCCTGCGCCAACCGCACTGCCTCTGACACACCCATCCTGATTACCCCAGTCACTGAATCAATCCATCTCATAGAGGGTCTTCCCCTCCTGTTCTGTCCCTCCACTCTCCCAAGCATGATGTCCCTCTCCAAGGACCCGTCCCTCCTGGCAACATGTCCAAAGTATGTCAGATGAAGCCCCAGAATCCTTGCCTCCAAGGAGCAGCCTGGTTTAATCCTCTCCAAGATGAATCTGGTTTTGTTGTACTACTTGTATTTTCATTGATTACAGAGATTTGAAAGGCGTTCAGTCAACAGAAATCCCTGGCTATCCCGATCTAGAGTCCTAAAGTCACATCTTGAACTGACCGTCTGGGTCAACTTGCCTCCTGTGTTCTGACCATGAACAATAAGAAGTTGTTGGTGGAGGATTTGAATGGAACTATTTCCGAGTCTCTCCAGCTCTTTTTAGATTGAGAGGGCTCAGAAAGCCAGGAACGTCCACATTTGCTTGGTTACCCTCCTGCCATGTTTGCTGATGACACGTTTGCCCATTTTTAGAGAAGAACACTGAGAAGTGTTTCTGAGAGTTGACGTGGTGACACCTGCCTGTCTCTTCCTTTCAGGGACCTCCGGGGCTAATGGGACCTCCAGGGAGCACTGGAAAGCCAGGACCCTGGGGCACAAAAGTGAGTGTCAGTTCTCACCATTGTCCGGAGACATTCTCTAAACCTTAAACCAAAACTATTCTCTAAAATCTTCTTAAATCCAAACACTAGTTTAGCTTAACTAGTAAAAAATCTCTATTTTGACCATTACGCATATCTTTTTTTTTAAAAAAAAATACCTGTCTAAGGTCAAGTTGATAATAGTAACTGGAAGGTTTAGACGGGACCCACAGAGAGGGCAGTGTCCCAGGAAAGGAACACCTCAGGAGGTGAGGCGTCTGCACAAGTCAGGAGTGCAACCAGAATCACGTGAACATGTGTGGAGAAGCGGTGGAATGGGTGTGTCACTCTGTCTCTTAACAACAGCAAAGTAAACCAAATGCTGTTAGCAAGCTCTCTCTATTCTCATCTTGATCTTCCTGTTAACTCTACAAGCTCTCTGCTAGTATCCCCTCCTCCTTCAGCGAGGGGAGAATCTCTGTTCAGTTCCTCCAGGAACTTTGGAAACCTCCAGAGAAGAGGTGGTCCTCACCCATTATGAACGACTCTGAAAAGCCCTGCAGACCCGTGATTGTCTGAATGCCACATTCAATGACCAAGGGGGTGCAGAGCCCCAGACTTTATCCAGGCGATTATCCATCTAAACCACCCATCACTTCTGAGGTGCCTCACGGAGGGTAGATCTTTGGAGAGTAAATTGCTGCCCGGGTCAGGATCTTACTCCTCTGCCTCAGAACTTCCTGTGGTTTCCACATCTGCCTTCATGGGCCTGGAATGCCTGGTTTAATGCTCTGCTGGAAACTTTATGGCATTTTTAACAAGTTTTTAACGAGGTGCCCAATGTGGCCATTTAGCACTGGCCTCATAAAATCATGGAGTGAGTCTCACCTTCCCGATGGTCCTCAAGACAAGGCTCCAAACTTTGAGTGGCTGACTGGCCCTTCGAGACTTAATCCTGTTTAATTCTTTCCCTCCGCAGCACTTCTGTCTCCTGCCCTCAGTGCTGTGCTGGGCCTCACCCCAGTGCTGTCCCCGTGCTACGTCCATGCTCCCCCTCCCTCGCCTTCACAGCTCTGCTTACAAGCTCCTTACCTTCTGGCAGCCTCTGGACACCCAAGCAAATGCAGGTCTCTTTACTTCTGTAGCGCCCAAACGTCATCATGCAATGTTGTAAGTGCTTGTCTGATTATCTCTCTTCTCACTGAAATTTTGCTTCCTGAGGGCAGAAGAATGTCTGCCACATTTAATGCCGTTCGTGTTCTGAGCCAACCCATCATTTAGAATGGGTAAATAAAGCATCAAAGGAATCAGCACACCTCCCAGTAAACGGGCCTTCCTTGGCCTCTCTCTTCAGTCCTGTACTTGAACCTGCCCCTGGCTGCACTGGAGGCGTGCTTGCTGACTTTGAGGAACACCATCGTTCCTCCCTCCTGTCTCTCTCCCTTCCCCAACAGCCTGTATCCTCCTCACTGGACACCGGGAACCAGGCCTTCATTTCACTGACCGCAAGTTCTTCTTGTCTCACTAACTAGGGGGAACCTGGAATTCCTGGAGCACAAGGGTCAAGAGGGCAACCGGGACAGCGAGGAGCACAGGTATGAAGTGTGGGGACCCCAAGCCTTCCCCACTCCGGGGGCTTGGTCTGGGGTGTGAGAGGGGATTGGTGTTATCAGCCTGAACTCTGGGCTATTGAAGGCGTATCAGCATCTGGGATGTTGGGGGACATGTCTGCATCCCACAGTGATCATTCTGTAGTGAGGCTGTCAAGTGAGAGAGAATGGAGGCGAAGGAGGAGGACGCAGAGAGGGTGGCGGATGAGTTAGAATATGTCAATATTTTCCTGTCAGAACGGTTGTATTCTCTGCACAGCCTTGCACTCCGTGTGGGCTGGATCTACTCTGCGTGACAGGGTCAGAATCAGTGCTCTGAGTCAGAATCAGCTTGATGAAAGTCCCTCTGGTCATAGAGACGCACGTCAGTTGATGAACTGATGAACGGCACCACTCCTACTTCTCTCCCTGCACGGCTCCGTGGAGCGTCGGCACACACAGGGCCCTCTGTCTCCAGGCCTGGGTTCTGCTCCCAAGGCTCTGCCTGGACAAAGACCTCCGCTCCTGGAGCCGTTCATCTAGAGACGGGACTTACTTCCTCACGCATTCGCTGCTGTGGAACGGATGCTGCCTCCCGGCGACTCTCCCGCAGGTGTCTGAGGTGGTCAGGAACAGAGAGGAGACTTCCCACCTTTCTCCAGCGGTGGATTCACACTGGGGAGACGGACGGCCTCCGGGTTAGCAGTGCAGCTCTGTGGACTAGGCCACCCAAGCACCCTAAGTGACGCCAAAGGGCCTTCTTGAAAAATATCTTTATTACAAAAGTTAGGCAGAGATACTGAAGAAAATGTACTAAACTCAGAAAGAGGTAAATGGGAGAAGAGAAAAAAAATGATATACTCCTAACCCTTTTATGTTGACATTTGGACTCTTCATCACCAACATCCTGGAGACATCAGAAACAAGCTCATTGCAGCAGGCTCTACCCCTCTCAGTAACACGTCAGGAAGGATTTCCAGGTTATTAAGTTTTTTCTTCGTGCTGTTGTGAATAATTTCCTAGTACTCTACTGGATATACGTACCTTAGCTTATGTGACTATTGTCTTCTGTCCTGCAGGAACCGACCCACAGCTGACCCTCCAGCAGGTTTTCAGAGGCAATGAATCACATGGGAGGTGGTGGCCTTCCTCCTACAGAGCAGCTGGTGGATTCGAACCCCTGCCTTTGGGATTCTTCTTACCACTAGACCCCCACTTTATTTGTTTCTAGTTTTTCATGAACAGCACAGCAGTAAACAGTCTTGTACCTAACTACATTTGAGCTAAATCCTAATTTCTACATGGAAACTCTGCAAGTATCAGAGTAAGGTCAAAGAATCCGTTTGGTTTTTGTTATGGTTTCTTTTTTTTTTTTTAATCTACAGAAAAAGGCTTTCACATAGAATCAATCTTGGAGGGTAACAGGGATGTGGAAGAAAGGAGAGGAGAATAGACACTAATAAGCAGATAGGTTGGGTGAAGAGAAGGGCAGGTGCAGTGAGGGATTGATGAGGAGTAATTAACTGCTCTAACCCATCGTAACTAATGATAGAAAACGCACGTTATATGAATGGCTGAATGTGAATCAGCCCCTATTGCAATGTGCCTTTAGGAAAACCTCTAACAAAAAAAGAAAAGTTTGTTTAACAGGACAGTGCTCACACAGAGCATCCTTATCAACAACGCGCATTACTGCTTTTGTTTGTTTTCATTTATTTCCAATTTTATTCACCAAAATGAATAGTAACTCACTATGATTTCTTCTCCTGGTATTCTGTGCTTCCTGCCAAGATCCATCTGACATTGGCAATGATGCCCCTCGTACCACAGCCTCTTCTAAACCCAACTTGTTTTTCTAACCATCTTTTTAAAAATTGTTATTTTTTTTTATAATTTTCAGCAGGATTTTGCTTGCCTATATTAGTGACACTGTTCGATGATTTCCACACTCTGTTGGATCACTTTTTTTGGAATGGTAATATACATGGATCTCTTCCAGTCAGTTGGCCAGGAGGTTGTCCTCCAGATTTCTTAGCACCACCTGGGGAGCACGTCTAGGCCTGCAGCTGTTTGCTGAAATGTGTCAGTTTGGTGCTCCATCAGTTCCTGGGGCCTTGTTCTCTTCCAATGCCTTCAGAGCAGCTTGAACTTCCTTTAATCACCGTTACCTCCTGATCATATGCGGTTTCATGAAATTCTTCTGTGTCAGCTAATTTTTTTGGTACAGTGACTCTGTGTATTCTTTCCATTCTCTTTTGATGCTTCCAGAATCATTCAATATGCTGCCCATAACATCCTTAAGTATTAAAACTTGAGGCTTGAATTTATTCTTCCATTCTTTCAGCTTGAAGGAAACTTCAAGTCCTTTACTTCCTTTCATCCTATTAGCATGCTCATTTTAAATTTCAAAACATTAATCAGACATTTTCAATTAAAAAAATGGATTTGGAAGTTGGGGGGAAGGAAAGAACTGCCAATCAAGTTAGTCCATTTTTATTTTCTGACTCTAGCTTCTTGCACATTTTGTTCTAACACTTTCTTTGTCTTCCTGGGCTGCCCTTTGAAATCTTCTGTTCAATTCCTTAACTTTCTTACTTATTCCCTTTGTTTTGGCTTCTTAACATTCCAGTGAAATATTCAGAGTCTCTTCTGACATCCATTTTGGTCTTTTCTTCCTCCTTTGTCTTTGTAATTACCTTTTGCATTCTTTGTGGATGATATTCTTAAAATCCTCCCACAACTCATCTGGTCATCGTTCATTAGTGTTCAAACCCTCAAACTTGTTCCTGAGATAGTTTTTAAATTCAGGTGGGAGAGACTCAAGGTCAAATTTTGGTTCTTGTGCATTTGTTTTAATTTTATTAAGCTTCAATTTGAACTTGAGTAGTTGACGGTTTATTCCACAATCAATACCTGATCTAGTTTTCACAGCTGATATTGAGCTTCTCCAAGGATTCTTTCCACAGGTGTAATCAATATGATTCCTGTGTAAACCATCAGGTGAGGTCCATGTGTATAGTCATTGTCTATGTTCTTATATAAAAGGTATTTTCAATGAATAAATAATTGATTGTATAAATTTCTGTCATTCTATCTCCAGGCTCATTTATGTTACAAAGTCCAAATTTTCTGACTGCTGATCCTTCTTCATTGTTCCCAACTTTTGCATTCCAAGTACCAGTTATTATTAAGGAATCTTGGTTGCATATTAGATAGATTTCTGTCTGGAAAATTCAGTAGAAATTTTCTATTTTCTTCTCTTTGGCTCTGGTTATTGGTGCATATATTTGAATGAGAGTCTATTTCTGTTTTGTTGACCATGCACAGGCATTTGATGGTGTGGACCACAATAACCTGTGGCTAACCTTGAGAAAACAGGAGTCCTAGAATACCTGATTGTGCTCATGTGAAACTTAGACCAGGAAGCACTGCATGATTCAAAATCAGGAAAGGAGTACATGAGAGATGTGTCCTGTCCCCACACCTTCTCAATCTATATGTGGAACATGTCATTTGGGAGGTTGGACTTTATGAGGAGGAACTGGCATCAGGATTGGAGGAAGATTCATCAACAACCTGCATTGTGCAAATGACACATCTTTGCTTGCTGAAATTGAAGAGGACCTAAAACGTTTGCTGCGGAAGGTCCAGGACTGTAGTCTTCAATATGGATTGAAGTTCAACATCAAGCAAACAAAGATTCTCACCACTGGGTCTATTGGTGACATCATGGTAGATGGAGAAGAGATTGAGATTGTTAATAATTTCAGCTTGCCAGATTCCACAATCAACATTCTTGCCACCAGCAGTCAAGAAATTAAAAGACAAGTTACATTGGGGATAGTCTGTTATCAAGAACACAACAGTGTCAATCTAGAGACCAGGGTGTACCTGATCCAGGCCATGGTTTTCACAATTACTTGCTATGCATCAGAGAGCTAGATAACAACTAGGGATGACAGGAGAAGAACTAATTCTGTTGAATTGTGGTGCTGGAGAAGAGTACCAAGCAGACATACCATGGACGGCCAAGAGAACGAACAGGTCTGTCCTGGAGGGGGTAAAGCCAAGTTGCTCCTTGGAGGCAAGGATTTTGAAACTCTCTCCCATACTTTGAGCATGTTGTCAGGAGGACCAATCCCTGGAGAAGGACATCGTGCTTAGAAAGGTGGAGGGTCAGCGCAAGCGCAGACGACCCTGTATGGCATGGATGGACACAGTAATGGGGATAGGTGTGGTGGAGACAGTGAGATTAGCTAAGTACGATGAGACAGTAAGATAGGGCTAGTATTTATAGAGTCACTGTGAGTTGCAGTCAACTTGACGGTACATAACAACAACATTATGATTTAAAATTTCCTTTATTTACCTAGTGATGCTGGACATTTTCCCATATGTCTTTGTTCATTTATAATCATTATTTTGTGTTTCTTTCACCCATGTCCTTAGAACAATCTTAATTTCCCAGATAAATAAAAACGTATTCAATGAGTCCAGAGGTCCATCCCTCTGGCTCATACAATGGTGCAGAGTGGAGCTGGAAAGAGGAGCAGCGAGTCCTACTGGAGAGTGAGCAAAGCCCAGCACCACTCATGTTCCCAAGTTCAAGTTCACCAAGAAATCCCCTTTCACCTTAAAGATCCCAGTGATTCTCTCTAGCCCAGTTTTTACTATTTCTCATGTGGAGAAATTGACACTAGCTGTTGTGTTTACAGGGAGATTATGGCATCCCAGGCTATGGTCCGATGGGACAAAAAGGAGTGAAGGTAAGAATGGAAAACACTTATTATTTTTAACGGATGAGTCAGACTTCTTGTAAGTAGTATGCCGACCTGGTGGAAGGGAAGTGTTGATTTATTTTCCTTTTCAAATTACAGGGTCCACGAGGATTCCCTGGAGACATGGGGCACAAGGTATTGTGCAGACGACCTTCTTAACCTCCTATTTGAGGGTTGAAGTAAGTCTGTAGGGAAAAATGAAATTTGAGAGGAAAAGAAAAGCAAGGCCTGGAGCCTTGGCCTTCCTGAGGAAAGAGTGTTCTGAGTCCCCGGGAATCTTTAAGCCACAGGATAGTCCTGCCCAGCACTCTGCTCTGTTCAATGTTGAACGCCATCGTCTCACACACGTGCTTGGTGCCTTCTGATTGGCATTGATTGGTATTTCAGTCCCTGTCATTTCATCTTGGCCTGAAGAAGCAGAGCAGCGACACCTATTAAATCAGCGCAGTTAGGTATTGACAGAGAGGAGGAGCTCCGGAACTGTGGTCTCTGAGTTACAAGGACACAAACTTGTCTACAGACATGTCACACCTACTCCTGGAATGAAGGCTTTTGATGTGTGGAGTTTTTGTTTTGGTTTGTTCTTCCATGGTGGTTTATTGTTGGAATTACGTCGATTTTGTGGCAGATTAAACCCTCATATGTACTCACCAGGGCTGTAGAAATGACGTCCAGCTGGTCAATATTGTGACCTCTAGATCAAGTTCAAATCCTTTGCATGATCCAAACCACCTTCTACCACCTGGCCGCTCCTCACTCTCCAATCTCGTCCCCTTTGCAGCTTTGAACTTCATGCTTTAATAAAATCGACGTGTGTGTGTGTGTGTGTGTGTGTTCCCACACGTGGAGGGTGTTTCTGTTTAACCCCTCTGAGCCCTAGCTGGAGCTGTTTTCTTTATCTAGACCATGTCCTTTCCTCCTTCCCATCTTCTCACACTTACTCCAGCTCATTTTTCAAGTCAGGTCAACATTTGTGTCTCCCAGGAAGCGAAGCCTGGGTCCTCAGATCACACAGTGTGGCTCTCTGCCCCCCACTTCCCTTCCCACTAAGTATTCCGTTGATGCTCCAGTCCCGACCTCTGCTGTGAGAGCCTGGGAAGCCCATCCTCAGTCACCTGTCTGATTTCCAGCATCGTGTCCATCCCGGGAAACAATTGTTGAGCAAAACTCATCGGTGGATAAAATTGGAACGTGTATGACTTAGTCACACAATTATGAACAGTGCTCAGGTCTTTCGTTCATAGGGTCGCGATGAGTTGTCTGCAACTTGATGGCACTTAACAACAACAACATGACTTAGTCATATTTGAGAATAAGAAATGACAAAGATAACATCTTTTTTCTTTTAAAAATTTATTTATTTGAATTGAGATATTATTGTAAGTTTATAAAGAACTTGGATTTCCATTCATTCATTGCTGCACATTTTCCTCTCTGCCCGCCTCCCTCCCAGTTTGTTTTTTCTTTAGAAAAAAAAGTTCTTTCATTGTTATACAGTTCCTCCCACAGACCCTATGCAGCTCTTATTTTGGACTCTTGTCACACCAATAATACCGTATCATATGTTCCTTTTATACAGTTCTCTCCCTTGTCCATTTCAATGCCATGTACATTATTTATCCCCTCTTTTGTTAGTTTCCCCCAACTCCCTTGCCTTAAGGTGAACATTCATTAGAAACCGTCCTCCCGTCATGGGAAGATTTAAAAGGAGATTCTTTATGTTGTGGATTAGGGCTACTAAAGTTTTTCCAAGCTTTTCTTGAATGAAGTTTACAGTCCTTGGTTTTAGTCCTAGGTCCATGATCCACCTTGAGTTGGTTTTTGTATATGGAGTGAGGTGGGGATCTTGTTTAATTCTTCTGCAGATAGTT